TATAGCTTAGCATAGTGTGAGAATAGGTTTGTTCAGTGCCTTAGTACGTTGACTCATGTGTGCATAAAGACGATGGGGGTCTTGTCATGCAGTAAATCAAAACTGCCATCTAAAGCTAAGCTCCTGCTAAGTGACCCATTGCTTTCAATTTTCCCCCATTAAGATTAGCAAAAATGTCAATGTGCATAATGTTCCAGTTTTCATATGTAATCCAAATTCCATATTGCATAAGTGCCTTTATTAGGCCAACTGGAGGTTTACAAAATGGTGCTCATGGCTTGGAGTTTTCAAACTCTTCACTAAACAAGATCATTTCAAAACAGGATAAACAAACAGAAGAAATCACTGTGAATTCCAGTTTCAGCTAAGACTATAACCTGCCACAGATATGGACCAAACACCAGCCCTATTTCCTCTGCTCTGCCTTTTAAAGCATACTGCCTAATGAAGATTCTTGGAAATTCAAAAACTTGCATATGTTTTGTAAGCTCCACCTGGCCTGAAAAGAGTGGGGGCATTAACGTTTATTCTCTCTGAATAGAGATTAGTTCATCTGTCTTAAGTGAGGAGGAAAGATAAAGAAGATCTTGAAAATATCCAAACTCCTTTGCCTAAAAAAGAAGCTGCCTGCTTAAGAGGTCTTGTCTCCAGTCCTCCTGTACAAGCCCTTAATTGAAATGTGAAGGAAATTCCTCTGGAGTAAATAAATTTAGCCCCCAACTTGAATGACTTTCAGGCATAGGAAGAGTGGGGGGCGGGGGGGAGCAGAGAATACAAATTGACTATTATCCAGTTATAAATAAAATTAAGAGTCTTATGAGTCTTATCATGTTTAATTTAGATTTCTTTGGGTACAAGAAACCTGGAAATGAAAGCACATGCTACTAGTGGTAATCAAATTGCCAGTTGGTTTTCTCAAGCCAAACTATATGGAAAAGGGACAAAGACAGACAGAAATAAAACCTAGAAAAAGAGTCTGGATTATGAAAGATGTCCAAGTAAGTGGACATCTTACCTTCTGTTGTTGCTATTATAAAAAAAAAAATAATCACACAGATTCATTTCCAAAATTCACCGTAAACAGAAAAATGACTGACATGAAATTACTCTCTCATAAAATTTTAATCTAACATAAAGGGCTCACACCTCTGCATTAAGACATAGGCACTTAACATTCTTCACCTAATACTGCATCATTTTTTCCATTTTTTAAGCTACTTCAAAATCTTTCCAGAAATCTAAACCTGACCAAAAAGAAAAATGTAAACTTAATTTGCCCTCTCCAGATCTCCCTTTTAGAATTCATTTTTTTTGGTACATTACACCCCATCTTTATTCCCTAAAAATTCAAGCCAACTACCCACCACCACCTATTAAAATATGTCGCTAAATCCTTAGTGGAAAGTAAGGGTACCTTCCTATGTGGGCTTAGGAATAAGCCCCATTCAGTAAACTTCTGGGTAAACATGCATGATTTTGCTTTGTCAGCTTCACTTACTTTAATGGGCCTTATTTCTGAGCAAGGATGCTTAGGAGTCTGCTATAAAATATTTGCCTTCTTTTCTTCCTCTACCAAAACAAAACAAAAGGAACAGATAGGACACAGCCCAAGTTAACCATTCTGAAATCCGCAGTGCTTAAATCTCTTTGAAATTGATGGTATCTAAGTGCTTAACTTGGCTGGGTGATGCTTCCTATCCTTTTAAATAAAATGCAAGGATCTGTCATTCCAACTCAGGAAAGATTGAAAAGAATGCAATGGAGGGATGACACCAAGGGTTGCCCCACAAATGCATTTAAGGATGGATGTTCTCTTTGTTTGGCTACCCATAAGATGGCTTACAGGGAGAGGTGTTGCATAAAGAGAAATGGAAACGGGATGATTTCAGAAGCAATTTTTAAAAGTCATTTTAAAAATCACCAGGAACATTCTGGAAAAACAAAACAAGGGGGGGAAAAGCTGTATGACACAGTTCCCTTATTTACAAGCCCCACCTTGTGTGGGGGGAGAGAGACTCATGAGCCCAGGTCCACCAAGCTGGAAGTGAGAGGGCCTAGGAGGGACTCTTGCAGCTGGTGCTGGTGAGGCTGGAGGCTGTGGGCCGGCTGCGAGGCAGTTAAGCCGGTCAAGGAATAGCTGGAGTTCCTGGCATGGCTCAGGTTGCCCTGGAGCAGGAGAATGGAGTTCTGATCCGGACTTTGGGGGGGCGAAAACTCCTCTTCGGAACTGGAGATGAGAGGCTTGGCCCCATCCAAAGGGGACAGCTGGTTCTGTTTGTTGGTAGATGTATTGTTGTTTTCAGTGTTCTCTCTGGGAGGAGAGGTGAGAAAGGAGAAATTAGTCATGCACCAAACAGGTTATAGAAGGGGGGGGGGGGGGGGGAATAGTCATCGAAGAAAAGCCTTCCCCAACCTAGATCTCTCCAGACAGATTGGCGCTACACAACCCAGAATTCCTGGCAAGTTCCCAACACATCTGGAGGGTCATAGGTTAGGGAAGGCTGACCTAAATGCATAACTGGCACCTTGTGCCTAGAACAAGAAACAAATCTGCTAAGTGTAAATGTAATTCTCAGATCCCCACGAAGTTTCAGTCATTGGAAATAAACCCCTTTGATGGAACTTTCTCTCTTAGAGTAGCTATACTTTTCAAAAGTCTGATTCCTCAAAAATACATTTTATATTTAGAAATTCCACCCATTTTAGACAGGATAACATCAGGTATCGCAATACATTTTTTCCCTCTAAGACACTTCCCCCCCCCCCTTTTACTTGCAAAGAAAGACATATAGAATTGGGCTGTTCCTTCTGTGATTTAATTCACATAAAGTTATACTGTGTTCAGTGAAATTTGCTGTCACATAGGAAAACTGCATGAATGTGTTTAGAAAGTCAGTGTGAGTCCATCTCAGAGCCTTCACCTTGTGAAAGTGTCCCTAAAACCCCATATTTCTCTTCGTTTCTTCTGTTGGGAAATGAATCCTCCTGAAATTGGAGAACTTTAATGATATGACATTTAACCTAATTAGTGTATTAATATTAGTACTAATTAGTACTTGATCAGTGTGTTGATTACATCTATTCTATTATTTCACTATCTTATTGACAGCAGAAGCTAACTTCAGCATGCCTGTGCTCAGGGTTGGGAAGAGGAAATGACTTCAGTCTGCAAGATGAAAATACAAAACTTGTCTTAAACACCGAGCCAGACTTTCTAGAGCCTTGAGTCATTTGCCAGGATCCTAAAGCAGCTGTCTTGGAGGGGAGTCCCACTGAGGGAATGGGAATTGCTTCAAAATTATTTTGCAGTTGAATTAAAAACATAAGAACCAAAGCAAAAGAAAAAGAGGCAAAGGAAACACTTTAAAACTAATAAAATTTATGAAACCAATCTAGGAAATAATCACCTTTCAAAAAAGAAAAGTGAAATTCCACCTATGTTCCAGCCTCAGCCCATTGCAGGGCGTTGTACCTAGAAATAAGTTCTGCTAGCATCTTATTCCCAGATATTTGATTACAGAGTTGCAACCTAGGACCTTTGGAAATCACTGTGAGACATAACTTACACATTCTTCCAGTAAGAAAGAAGACTTTTTGTGAAGGTATGGCCATTTACGGCATACTGCTGTATAATATTAAATAACTTACAAAAATAGCATTTTTAAAAAAAATACCATTAACTTAAAAAAAAAATAGAATGCTACCAAAGAAAGTTTAGAGTCATGCCTGCCTTTATACTTTGAGCCCCCTAACGTTTTCCTGGGGGGGAAAAATCCCTCCTCCAGGTTAAGAAGAAGCTACTTCCAAGGAAAGCATCGCAGAAGGGGCAACAAGGAACTTTTCTCGATCCCGAGATTTCAGTCAGGGATGGAAAGGTCTCCCTCTTTCTAAAAGGATTTCGCCAGCCGACCAAGAAGAAAGTCTCACTGCCTCAACCGAACTGATTCGGGCGTCTGAATGTGCGTAGATCTGAGGTCTAATTGTGCCTTTGGGTGTCACAACCGGTCATCAGTTTAAAATACATCTTGACGGGCGGTAAAATCCTTCCGAGGACCGCCTTGCGTAGCTGAATGCGATGCCCTCCAAACGGCAAGGATAGTGTCGGTCTTACATTAGGAAAGTTAATTACGGGGAAAATGGGAAGTCGGCCTTTACTATGTAGGTCATAAATGACATTCTGGGTGTATATCATCTAGCTCAAGGGTGTTTAGCTGGAAGGCAGTCCCATTGCATTCCTCGGGTTCCTCCCAAACCCCGCGGAGAGGGACCCTAATTTTTCGGCAGATGTGTGTCACTCCAGTTTAAGGACTTTTGAACGCGGGTGAAGATGCAGAGCAGCCGCGGGAGATGAAAGCAGCGGCAAGCACTGACGGTCCGTTCCCACGACCTAATTTGGAAACGTGAAGTATTTGGAAATATGGCCGAGTCGCCCAGCCGCGGGGCCAGTGACCGCGAGAGCTTCTTTGGAGACAATCTGGAAGGCTAGCCGGTCGCTCCTTTTGAAGTCGGTGACTTGGTGGTCCTCCCTTCCCTGCTTGTGCCCTTGAGGACCGGCTGCCACACTCCGGACGTGGGGATGTTGCGCGTCCGATTAAATTGAGCTCCCCAAAGAGGCATTTAAAAGGTGGTGAACGAATCACACGGAACGCTTCAGGAGTGCGGAACGTCCTCAGCGGCTCTGAATTCTTCTCCCTTTGGGGGCGCATTCCGCGTGGCATATCTTTCCCACCGGCCCATGCCACCCTTGCAGGTGGGGGTTATTTTAAGAAAGAGGTGCAGAAATTAAGGGCTGGGCTTGGCTTCTCGCCGCAGTGCAATCTGCCTCTAGAATGGGGAGCAGGAGGAGGGGTGGCGACCAAGGTCTATGGTCCTGCTTTGCCGGCTCCATTCCTCCCCAGGCTGCGATGCCCCTTTGGCGTCGCATCGATTCCAGTGCCACCGGAGGGATCTGAATCTTGCAAAGTGGTGCGGGGCCCAGCGAGTCCTGCTCCCAAGGCATGGCAGCCCAAGGCGCTTGAGTGTAGCTGCTGGATCGTGCCCACGACTCCAGCAGGAACCCAGAGGCTACTCGGAGAAAAAGAAGCAAAAACGTTCTCGGGTCTTCTGCAGAGAGATTTACTTTTTTTTTCTCCGCGGCTTCACCGTTTGGTTGCCACTTTAGACGGCTGCACAGAGCTGTCGCAGCCCAATTGAGGCTGACATTAGCGATGAGCTGCTGGGCCTTGAGATGTTAAATTGCCCAGAACGCAGCAAAGCTACTGTCTGCTGAGTTGGGAGCCCGGGAAAAATGCAACACATTTTAATGATGGGATTTTAAAAAAATGAAAACTATCTCAAAATATTAAATAAGATATTCATCCAGTTTGGGGTTTTTTTCCAGAAAAATCAACGCTGAAATGGCAGTTTATCTGGGTTTAAAATAATCTGAACTTGACAGTATGACTTGAACATGTTGTCAGATGGTGGAATGTCATGTTTCTATGATTCCATTCCCTACATCTCCCCGTTCATACGAGCATACCAATGTGTGGAATGAGTGTCTGTATCAGAGCAAGTGAAAACATCTTTACCAATGAATAAAATGTAGATTGTTAGTGAAATGCGTAGATTAAAACAGTGTATTTCTAGCCCATATCGGCAATGTGATGTTTCCAGACACAGAAAGCTGGAGCACCAGACTCACTTTATTTACTCCGAAATTAAGGCCCACTCCAGCTTGATCCACTACCCTTGAAAACACTAGCATTTATATATAAAAATGTCTCTGGGTGCCGCCCAAGCATGCGTGCGTTTACTCTGAATTCGGGGAAAATTTTCACCATGGTGTGCACACCGAAGGACCTCGGGCCCAACATTTGACATTCTACCATCTTTCCTCTCTGCTTCTAAACATTTTGTATTTTTCTGCTAAAGAGCCATGTGGCTACTTGTTTGTGCCCAAGACTTTCAAACTTATCCAAACGATATCGATCTGAATTCTTTCTACAGACGAGCAGTATGTATTTTCAAAAGGAGGGTTCTGCAACGTTTCCGAAATAAGGCATTTAGTGCCACCTCTAAAGGGACAGCACAGTTCTGTGTCCCCTCGGGAAATTGCCTTTTCCAATCCGCGTTCATTGTTGTGAAGAAAGGCGGGGGCTATTTTCCAAAGGCCATCCATAAGGAGAAGGGCATGAGCGTTTTCCCCAAGTGACCCAGTCTGTAGAGATTAGGAGCTCTAAAGACCGAAAGAGCCACGGCTGGTGAGGTAGACCAAGATCCCTTCCTGTCTTCCAGGCTCCAACCCACCACCGCTGCCGCTGCCACAGTAACTTTATGCCTGATCCTGGTGGTACAATGCCAGATCCCCGGTTTCTCAGGTTTTTGCTTGCCAGGCTGCGCTTGGCAATTTCAGCAGCTGAAACCCCCAGTGGAATGAGTTGAACAATCCAATCAGTCCTGCTGTTTAGTTTGGGAGCAGAGCTCTCACGCCCCGTGCCTCCCTTCCCCCGACCTTGCCGTTGTTTCTGCAGCAATTGACATGGTGGCCTTCTTCAACCTGGGGTCAGCCAGATGTGCAGAGACTACAACATCCAGAATTCCCAGCTAGGGCTTCCTGGGAACCCCGGGAGCTGTAGTCCCAACACATCTGGAGGAGATCAAGTTGACAAAGGTTGTTGGGGGGGCGGCCCTCTACCCACCCACCACCCACCTCTCCACATACACTTGTTCCTCCCTCCCAGGGCCTAATGGTACCATATTGAACATAACTCTGGGCCCAGCTTTGCACTCCAGAGGAGCAAGATCTGGAAATAGAAGTCCCTGGATTTCGCCAGGAGATCTCTGAACAGATCTTGGGTGGGGAAGGTCTGGGACCCATCAGTGCGACTGACACCCTAATCCTAAACACATGTAAACCGTCTTAAAGTTAAGCACTTCCATTTAACTGAGGGATGGCTCTAGCTGTAAGGAAGAGAGCCGCCTTCTCACTGACTCTTGGCCACTAGCTCCTTTTTCTCAGCACCCACACAGGTTGCTCATGATGCCGGCTGGACAGTCCCACACCAGGGCCTTCGACCACATCCCCTCTCTCGCCTTCCAGGTGACAGAGGGCTGAGGAGGCTCTGGACACAGGGGAGGTCAGCCGAGTTCTTCCTCCCTTCCAGGAGTGACGCAAAAGCAGGCTTAGGAGCACCGGCTGGAAGTATCCCCAGAAAAGCCTCTGGGCTTTTTCCGGAGGTGACCTCCCCAGTCTAACCTTTAGCTGCCTTGAAAAGCCAGAAACACTAAGCAGCCCCTTTCAGATCTAATGGCCCTTCTCTGAGGCGCCCTTCCTCAGGAGGCTGCAGCGCAGAGCAGAGGCGAACAACCCTTCTGGCTTCTCTCTCGCAACTTCTAAACTCCCCAGATCTAAACTGGATGTGCGGTTGAGATTCCCCCCTCCCCTTTCCTTCTTCCTTGATGATGATGTTGATGATACCAATCATCATTCCCACCACCATCATCAGGGAATGGTGGCTTGCAAACTCACTCTCTGGAGTTAATATTTGGTTTTCAAGTCATGTCAGTCTGGAGCACAAGAAGCCAGGCTGGAGACCTTGACCTACTAGAAACGTTCCATCGCCATAAAAAGACGGAATCCTCCAGCCCACTGCTTCTGGCTGCCAAAGGAAGATTTCCACCAGAACCGCGCAAGACTAGGAAGCCACAGGGCAGCACCCAGAGGCAGGTGACAGGAGCCAAAAGGGAAAATTAGGAAAGAAAATGGGAAGGAATCACAGATTAGTAGTGGACCAATGCCAGAGGTGAAGGGCATGAAGATGATGGGGGCTACAAAGAGGCAATGTGGTGGCCTTCGAGGGGGCTGCTTTGCTCGGCTGGATCCTCCCAGAACAAGCCAAGCACAGCTCCTCTTTGCACTGCGTGTTGGAGCAGTACCCATCGGGGGAAAGCGCTGCTTTCCCTTATGAAAAGGTTTACATTCTATCATGAGATGGCATTAAGAAAAGGTGGGGTGGCTCTCATTCTTCCTCTCTCCCCGCATGGAAGACTGAGTGCTCACTACTGAACCCACCAACCTGAAGAAAAACGGAATTATCCCATCGCCTTTCAAAAGGCATTATTTCAACACTTCTCTTTAGGGTCCCCAGGCAAGGGAGGAGTGATGGGGTGGGGGGAAAAGACAATGCAAATACCATTAACTGACACCTCTCCAGTGCTGCTCCGAACTCAGAAACAAGGGCTGGACGGAACATGTACCCCAGCCTTCCCCAGCCTGGTGTACCCTACTTATTGGATTATGATTCCCATCACTCCCGGCCAGCTGAGGGTGTTGGAAGCTACAGTTCCACACATCTGGAGAGCACCAGATGGAGCTCTAGCAGTTCCCTCCAATTAAAGTTCAGGGCCCGCTGATTTTCAAGGTACCAGGGTCAACCACACAATTAATCTGCCTCCTTACAGGCACAGCTATTAAACTGAAGTGCTGTTGGGTTCATAGGACACTTGCACCTAAGTAAACAACCTGCAGGATTGTGGCCTAATCCCTTGGAAGTTAATGGTGCACGGAGGCGCGGTGAAATCGTTGCTTAGCAAACCGGCCGAGGGGAAGAAGAACACAGAACTTTAGAGAAGGCTCGTCTTTCCAACTGGCTCGGCCCAACACGCTGACTAGGGTGAGCCGCACCAGGGCCTACTGAGTTCCCCAATCGCTTGGCTTTGCAGAGCACACGGGCCCGAGGGGAGCGCAGGGACTGGGCTCTCGCTACCCAAAGCCCCCAGCGAGCCAAACCTGCTGTAGCCCAGTAGGTTGTGCGACGCCACGCCAGTCCAGATCGCTCGTACCTTGCCTCATTTTGTTACCGCTCCACGCTCCGGTGACAGGGTAGTTCTTCTCAATATCTACCCCGGCCGAGCAGCGCAAGGCTCCGCGGCGAAAGAAATCCCCGGGAGTTCAGCGGAACCTGCCCCCAAGCCCCTTCCCCGAGAAAGCTGCTCTGGGGGCCGCCGAGCTCTTTGTCCCCAGAAGAGCCCGAAGCACAAGCAGAACCCACCTCTCTTTCGCCTCTGCCGCTCGGTCGCGCTGCCTCCGGTTTTTAAACCAGTTGCTAACCTGGGTGGTGGTGAGGCCAGTGGCTTCGGCCAACTCCCTCTTCTCCCGGGGCGATGGGTAAGGGTTGTGCGCGTACCACTCCCGCAGGACGCCCCGGGACTTCTCCTTGAAGCAGTAGCTGGTCTCCTCGCCGTCCCAGATGGTCCTGGGCAAGGGGAATTTCCGCCGCACGCGGTACTTCCCGACGGCGCCCAGCGGTCTACCCCGCAGCTTCTCGGCCTCCACGTAGTGCGCCTTCAGCCAGAGCTGCTGGAGTTTGGGGTGGTTATGCGGAGAGAACTGGTGGCTCTCCAGGATCTTGTAGAGCTCGCGGAAGTTCCCCCGGTGGAAGGCGACCACCGCCTTGGCTTTGAGGACGCTCTCGTTCTTGTGCAAGTGGTCGCACGCGGGCAGCGACCAGAGAAACCTGCCCAGCCGCTCCAGGTTGCCGCCCTGCTGCAAGACCTCGCAGACGCACGCCACTTGCTCCTGCGTGAAGCCGAAGGATGGCAGCATCGACATGGCTCGGGGTCCGAGCTGCTGCTGCTGCTCCTGCTGCGCCGCCGC